CTTCCCTTTTCTCATTCAGAAAAAAATTGAAGACCTGGATATGGGACCAGGCTTTTGGACATTCTGGTAGCTAAAGGAAAGACCGTGATGATGGGCAGGTATTGACGTAATGGAATGGATTTATGGAACTCTGAACACTGACCATGAGATTGTTTACTATTGTCTTATGTATTGATGTTTTTAATCTGTTAACTGTTTAATTGCTTTTATGTATGTATTTCTGACATAGGCATCGAATTGTGCCTTCCTTTGTAAGCCTCCCTGAGTCCCCCCTTGGGGGTGAGAAGGCTGGGGTAGAAGTAACTTAAATAAATAAATAGAGATTATTTTAACTTTCAGCTAAGGACAAAAATTACATTTTATGACCTTGTTATATACAGTATAAGAAAGAATTGTAATTGCATCTAATGCATGATCAGTCCTGTTCTTGGGGAGTAGTTTGAAAAATGGCTCCAATGCGTTTCTATCTGGTTCCATGGAAATCAGTTGGATAACATCGTTGACATCCCAACTTGTCCCTTCCCTCAGTTCTCCAACAGGATCTTCCATCTGTGTCAGTGTTTTTCCCAGAAGAAGTTACTGTATAAACAGATCTCTGCATAATAAATTTTGAAGGAGAACAGTCCACCTGAAACACTTGGGACAAGGGAAGTGGAAGCAGTATTTGACTTAAGTGGTGCGTTCATGTTCCAGGCATTTGCAAATCCAGAATGATACCATGACTGATTAACCTTCTGTAATGAAACACTGTTAAATTTTTACATCTGTTTCTCTCCATTCTTATATGGAAAATTCCACTTGTTACCAGTTCATTGAACATTTAACCAATGCAAACTTGAAAAATGTGAGTATTCTAAAAAATGGCATAAGACAAATCTAATAATGTTGGTGAATTCTTTTTAGTTTTGACATGTCTCTGTCCAGTTCTTTTGGCATCAATTTCTTGTATCCATCTTCTGCCAAAACCACGCAAAAGCAGAAGAGAGTACATATAAACAGATGCCTAGGTGAGATCACCAGATCAGTTCCCCGTGAAGCCAAATTGGTTTTGTTAAATGTGATGCTATCTACCTGTTTCCAAGTCTTGCTATTGTGAAGCATTTGCCATTATTATTGAGGAGAACAGCAAAAGGCCAGAACTTGATGAACCCTGCATGAACATGTACTCTTTACACAAAAACAACAATGGCCTTTAAGGGAGATTTTCAGGACAAAAGAAGCTGTTCTTAAGTGTGTATATTATTAACCCCATTTGCCTGCACAGCACATATTTGCTAAAGTTCATGATGGTTTAAGTAGTTGCTTAATTTCTAGCTCAAAATGCAGGTGTGATACTGGCCATAAGGAATAATATAGATTTATTTTTTTAATAATATCTTTATTGAATATTTACAGATTACAAAGTTAAAATTTTAAGAGAGGAAAGGGGAAAAAAGAGAAAGAAAAAAAAGAGATAGAAATAGAGATAGAATTAGCAAAAATTACACTTCTGAGCTTCTTCCTGGAGGGTTTTTCCCTTTTCCTTCTTTCCTCATTATCCACCTCTTCTTTCAGTTCTTTCCTTCTTTTCTCCCCCTCTTCTTTACTCTCTGTTGGGCGATGGATGCTTTGTTTCTTTCTTCAATTATTGTTCTTTTTACTTTAGATATCCAGTTATAGATATCCAATCTGTTTTTTTTTTCCTTATCTTCCCTTTGGATATCAGATAAATTAATCTGTCCACGTTCCTTATATCCATAATTTTTTATTCCAATCTTCCAGTTTGGGTATTATCCGTTTTTCTCCATACTTTCGCGTAGCATATTCTTGCAGCCATTGTTGCCAAAAAGAGGAGTTTATCTGCATTACTATCTAATTTCTGTTCATTTATTCCTAATAGAAATATTTCTGGCCTCAGTGGTGTCTTTAATTTTTTTTTGTATATTTTCATATATTTCCTTCCAAAAAACTTGTGTTTTGTTGTTTTTGTTTTTGTTTTTTTGCATGACCACCACATGTAGTAAAAGATTTATTTATTGACTAGCCGTCCCTTGCCACGCATTGCTGTGGTCCACATGGGGGTTCTGTTTGGGAGGTTTGGCCCAATTCTATCGTTGGTGGGGTTCAGAATGCTCTGTGATTGTAGGTGAACTACAAATCTCAGCAACTAGAACTCCCAAATGTCAAGTTTCTATATTCCCCAAACTCCACCAGTGTTCACATTTGGGCATATTGAGTATTCTTGTAGAGTTTGGTTCAGATCCATCATTGTTTGAGTCCACAGTGATCTTTGGATGTAGGTGAACGACAACTCCAAAACCAAAGGACACTGCCCACCAAACCCTTCCAGTATTTTCTGTTGGTCATGGGAGAACTGTGTGCCAAGTTTGGTTCAATTCCATCGTTGGTGGGTTCAGAATGCTCTTTGATTGTAGGTGAACTATAAATCCCAGCAACTACAACTCCCAAATGACAAAATCAATTTTTTTGAGTGAAGGACACACATTGGGTTGTTAGGTGTCTTGTGTCCAAATTTGGTGTCAATTCGTCCAGTGGTTTTTGAGTTCTGTTAATCCCACAAACAAACATTACATTTTATTTATATAGATAATACTTGAATGATTACTTTTTAAAAGTAATGTATTAGTAGACCATTGCAAAAACAAAAAAAAGTTTAATTTTGGAAAAGATGGGTGTTTTAGTGTCTTTCTATTTATAATTGCTTTTTTATTCTGGGAGTGGGGGGGTCCATGTGAAAAAATAGAAATGGGACAGGGGGGTCACCTAAAATGTCCTTTAAATACATTTTTGCCTTCATAAACTAAAAAATTAAATGCTTTTACTCATCTCATGAGAAAAAATAGTGTTTCTATTCTGACATCATTTTATAAAATCCTTTCATCATTGTACCTTCTTTATTCCACCATTGCTCCACAGCAACATGCAACAGCTAAAATTGTCTATTGAATCCATATTCTGTGAATAAACATTTTCTTTTATTTATTTGCCCTGAATATCCGACAGTTTAGCTTTCGTGGATAGCCCATTTTCTAGGATTGGGTGTGGGGGAGGTGTAGTCTTGTTGTCCATTTACTCCACACCATGCTTAGTTTTGTTTATTGTGTTTGCACATCCCTACTACACCTTTCCATTTTAAGGTGTGGCAGACAGGACTGTACACAGTGTGACTGCAGTTTAAATGTGTGTAAGTACAATGTAAAGGTGACACTTACAGTTCTTGGTTCTTTCTGGTTAAGGCCGACAGGGCCTCTGCCCCTCCTACACCACCAACATCTGGTTCAAAATGTATTCAGTTCTTCACCATAATTGTAGGATCGTGTTTTGTTTGTTGGTTTGTTTTGTTTTGATCTATCAGTGTGAACGTGGAAACAACAAGTTATTTCTGGTATTTATTATTTATTTCCGTATTTCTACCCCGTCTCTTCTCTACCCCCAAAGGGGGACTCAAAACGGCTTACATTAGGCAACGATTTGATGCCACTTCATATAAACAATTACAATAATACAACACAATTAAAATACATAAAGCATTAATTAAAACAGTACATAAACATTAATTAAAACAATACTACAATATCATCACCAGTATCGTCATTCCAGTCAATTTATAAACATAAATTACACTGTTCAACGGAGAAAAGGTTGCGGGCCTGAAAATAGCTGTTCTTTTATGATTTCGGGGTGCTGAAAACGAAAACGACATTTAAAAATGTATATTGGCTCTAGTTTTTAATGATATAAGCAATCACGTGATCACGTATGGTTGAAAAATGCATGTTGCGACTTACACTATGGAAGATTCTAGAAAGTTGCGGGCCTGAAAATAGCTGTTCTTTTATGATTTTGGGGTGCTGAAAACGAAAACGACATTTAAAAATGTATATTGGCTCTAGTTTTTATGATATAAGCAATCACGTGATCACGTATGGTTGAAAAATGCATGTTGCGACTTACACTATGGAAGATTCTAGAAAGTTGCGGGCCTGAAAATAGCTGTTCTTTTATGATTTTGGGGTGCTGAAAACGAAAACGACATTTAAAAATGTATATTGGCTCTAGTTTTTATGATATAAGCAATCACGTGATCACGTATGGTTGAAAAAATGCATGTTGCGACTTACACTATGGAAGATTCTAGAATACTCTAGAAAGTTTGATGACTCAGTATTAGTGCCGTGTGCAAAAGCCAGAAAGCCCTATGTAAGGCCAGACTTTTGAACGGTGAGGGTCAGTCAGTTGAAGACTGAGACAGTATCGTTAAACATCGTTTTACATTGTTCTTTTTACTGTAGTTATGCCTCGCACGTGTGTAAATAAAGCACTATGGAAAAAAGATATCAAGGTAAATGGACTCCATCAATGCTGTCAGACTACTGCTGGAGCATTGTAAGAGACAATCCTTTCCTTGAATACAAAAGAAAAGTCAAGAGAAGCAAACAGGATATAAACTAAAGTCACGATTAAAGCGACATTTAAACTTTCAGACTTTTCAACTGCATTAGGCCTACTAATATAGTTTCTTGCTGCACAAACATAAACAATAGACTAATTAAATAAATATTTCTCATGTATAAACTATTGGCAATATAATTTGACTAAAATTTAGTAAATATTCACGGTTTATATACATGCAGTAAGGTTAGGCGCATTATCATAATATTAACAAATTACCTGTTGTGGAGAAAATTGAAATAGCTGTTGCATAAAAACCAGAGCCAATTAACACATTTAATTATTATATTTGAATTTAGCATGTTAAATTTATTAAGAAACGGCACATTTCGTTTCCGAAACTGAGAAAAACTGAAAATTTGTAGAACAGTGTTATTACTTGCAGCATTCGGGAAAGAGGGAATTAAAAGGAATAATGTTGTTGGTTTAAAAAAAAACTCCCAAAATCTTGGAGGAAGGAATTAATGTAATGAGTAACACTACAACAGGTAGGAAAGAGTCTCTGGTTTGAAGGAAGGTAATAATAAATGTTATATTTATCTGTGCAGGACTAAATATCAACTGTGCTTCAACCAATACAACTGATCCCAGCATGGCTTCTCACACAAGCAGATCTACGACAGGAAGAATTGAAACTGATCATCCAGCATCCACATTCCACAATAACTCTCCAGCAAGTACTAGTCCACCAGCTGCACTGTCAACTACTCTGTCTCTTAGTACTGCATTGGAGGATTCAGAACACACTACCACCACAGGTACTACAACTCCTCTGTCAGCAGTGGAGATTTCAGCTACAACTTCTCCATCAAATACATCGGACATGAATATTTCAACAGCGTCACAGCCAAATACAGAACATACACTGTCTCCTGTGACTTCCTTTGCTAATGCCACAACAGAAACCTTTACCCACTCTCAAACCCCAGCATTTACCTCCTCACAGAGTTCAAATGATTCAATCAGCATCACTACTCCATCACCATCTGACATTACCAAACTTAGCACAGCTGAAGTTACGCAGTTGTCAAGCACAGAAGCATCCGTACCTGTGAGCACAAGCAAGAAAGTGCACACCGTAGAGGCAACATCAAGAGAGACTCATGTGATATCCACCTCCTCAAGCCCATTGGAATCCCTTACCTCTTCAGAAATGACCCTATCAAGTAAAGTTTCTCTAGAGACTTCTCCCACTGGGAGTACCACGTTCTCTTCAGGGATAACCATTCAGGCGGTTCAGCGTGCTTTGAGCCCAGGTGAGACAGTCAAGAAATCTGTTTTCAGAACTATTGCTGTGTTAACTTTGTTCCCTTTTGGAGTGGAATATCATTTAGGAGGACTTTTTTTCTTTTAAAGATGGTTCAGAAAGGCAGGTAATTCAGGTTCCCTCCCACCCCATTCTTCCAATATTAGACAGTGCAAAATGAAACAAGTACAGATAACTTGACTATTATAATAAACACAGCAAGGTAGTAGTAAGAGTAAAGATTTTAATTAATTTATGGATGGGGAAAAATACATATAAAATAAATCCCAACTCTCACTGCTTAGCCAAAATTATAATGCTCACAAAAGGTAGAGGGAGTATGGTTGCTGAACCAACTGTATATTTAGAAGTTAGGAACTGGGAACCACTGGAACTGAGAGACTTAAAATGATTCTTCAAAAGAATTTCGCTGCCACCATTTCACTACTAATCAGGCTGAGGTAATATTTGAGAGTTTGTAACACACACTGTGTCACTATAGTTTCTTAGAGGTTGCTGTGAAGCCGACTTTTAGTAATACTTTGACCACAAAGGTATTCACACTGAGGCTGGTATAAGTTAATAAAAATAACAAGAAAGTTTATTGAACAGGCTTGAAATATTCAGGTACAAATGCTTAATGGTTTCAGTAAAATACTGGCATAAAAAGCTTGTGGTTGCGTTAAGAGTCAAAATCTTAAAAACTTCTGGGTTACAAGTTTTCAAAGTTCCACCACAGAAAATTACTTCAGGAAATGAATCTCTGAAAGTAACTCCGTGAATACAGGGAGTCTCCAAGTTACAGACAAGATAGGTTCTGTAAGTTTGTTCTTAAGCTGAATTTATGTGTAAGTCGGAATAGGTATATTTTTAAAGTGTACCTCTAGGCAAATATGTATATATAGATAGCTTTGGATAGCGTGTGTTTTGCTGTCTGTGCCCTGTTCACCTCACCTACTGTCCTTGTGATAATTGGATTTTGAAAAAATTAGGCTTGTTGTGGAAACAAGAATTGGTGATAAAGCTTTAATGGACACCCCTTTCCCTCATGATAACTCTTTCAGGGGTGAATTTCCCTTCCGAGAGATAGATTTCTCTCAATCTCTGTTGCCTCACATCCGTTCTTAACTATGAGTTGTTTGTAAGTCAGAGGTTTATAACTCAGGGACTGCCTGTACATACTAAAAACGTGAAAGTTATTAATACTTGATATCTTAATACTCTGACTTACTGTGTCTTCTTCAAGATGGACTTTGAGACTCAATTCTGACTTCATTGTGGTTCATAGCTTGAACCAACCGTAGTGCAGACCACAGATCATAACTTGCAAATCTTCAGTAAGCAACTCATGGGAAAGCGATGCCTCTCTCTCTTCATTTCTGTCCTCTCTGTTTTTATATGTTCACTCCTATATCTGTGGTGCAACAGTCTGTTGAGACAGATGGCTTTTCTCAGCTGTTATTTGCATATCATGCCAAAATATAATTTGTATAAAACATGGTTTGCAACCTACTTCAAAACATAGTTTCTGGTTTGCCAGCCTATTGCAATTTAGGGTTTGCCAATCAAAACATAATGTTAGACCAGGCATGGGCAAACCTTGGCCCTCCAGCTGTTTTGGACTTCAACTCCCACAATTCCCAACAGCCAACTTTGGACTTTGGAGTGATGGATGGCTTTGGAGTGATGTCTGAACTTACCTGGTAAATTTTCAGTTTGCTACAGTAGTATAGGCAATTTTTACTGATCCTTTGCAGGAGAGACAAGACTCGAGAACTTCCACGACTCAGAATATGTCCTTTCATGTATTCCTGTTTGACTGCTCCCCACATCATTTTTCTTGCTTTATAATCAGCTAGTATAAAAGCTAGAGCAGCATTTAGCCACCTGCAAAAGTATGAACTTTGAACTTAAAGACAAACATATTGAATGACATAGTTGTGAAATCAGTTGCCTCTCTCAGCCTACCAATTAAGATTTATATATAATTACTTCCTTATTTATAGCATGTAGCATATTTATAGCACTATGTTTCCACTTTAACTGTCTTGGTTCCATTCCATGGAATTTGTAGTTTGGTGAGGCGCGTTTAGAATTATCAAGCAGAGAGTGCTAGTGACTCATAGAATCATAGACTCATAGAGTTGGAAGAGACCTCATGGGCCATCCAGTCCAACCCCCTGCCAAGAACCAGGAATATTGCATTCAAAGAACCCCTGACAGATGGCCATCCAGCCTCTGTTTAAAAGCTTCCAAAGAAGGAGCCTCCACCACACTCCAGGGCAGAGAGTTCCACTGCTGAACATCTCTCACAGTCAGGAAGTTCTTCCTAATGTTCAGATGGAATCTCCTTTCTTGTAGTTTGAAGCTATTGTTCTGCATCCTAGTCTCCAGGGAAGTAGAAAACAAGCTTGCTCTATCCTTCCTGTGGCTTCTTCTCACATATTTATACATGGCTATCATATCTCCTCTCAGCCTTCTCTTCTTCAGGCTAAACATTATTATTATTATTATTATTATTATTATTATTATTATTATTATTTACAGTATTTCTATACCGCTTTTCTCACTCAAAGCGGTTTTCACATAACTGACAAAACTTAAGTGCCATACATTGGACACTGACGCGATGCCAACCATAACAACCACCATAATAAAACCACAATTAAACATAAATCCTAATTAGACGGTACATAAGCAATCATTAAAATAATAAAAACAGTCTCGCCAGTCATATTGTCATTCTAGTCCATGTCCTTTAAACTCTGCAGACATCTACTGCCCGAAGGCCTGATCCCAAAGCCATGATTTTAATTTCTTTCTAAAAACCAGGAGGGAGGAAGCAGATCTTACCTCATTTGGGAGTGTGTTCCATAGGTGAGGGGCCACCGCCAAGAAGGCCCTGTCTCTCGTCCCCGCCAGACGCATGTGATCAATTGACGGGAGCGAGAGCAGGGCCTCCCCGGATGATCTTAAGGTTACGAGATGGGACGTAGGGGTGGATGCCTTCGGACAAATAAGCTGGGCCAGAACCGTATAGAGCTTTATAGGTCAAAACCAGCACATACCCAGCTCCTTAAGCCGCTCCTCATAGGGCTTGTTCTCCAGACCCTTTATCATTTTAGTTGCCCTCCTCTGGACACATTCCAGCTTGTCAATATCTCTCTTCAACTGTGGTGCCAGGAATTGGACACAATATTCCAGGTGTGGTCTAACCAAGGCGGAATAGAGGGGTAGCATTACTTCCCTAGATCTAGACAAAACTACAAACCCCAAAATTCCTTAGGATGCAGTCCTGGCAGTTAAAGTGGAATCATAGTACTATAACTGAATAGTATGAAAGGGCCACTTGAAATATGTGAAGGCTGTTATTATTTTTATTAAACTACATTACTATTAAGCTACAATTAAGCCTGGAATATTTTCTCAGTCTGATAATTTAGGTTTTAAATGCATCATGGTGTCATTGTTTTTAGTGTTTTATTGTTTTGCTTGATGTTTTACTATTTGCTTATGAGTTTTATTGTTGTATTTGTATGCTGTTGTTTGTTGGTGGCCTTGGCCTTTGTAAGCTGCATCGAGTCCTTTGGGAGATATTGCGGGGTATAAATAAAGTTAATAAATAATAATAATAATAATTGCAATGGATTGAATTGTGTAACTGAAAACAAGTATCTAAAATATTTATTCAGATGTTATGATTTACAGATTGTAAAATTCAGAACTAGAGTGTAAAACTCAATATCACTTGTAGTTTTCTGTGCTAAAATCATAATAAAAATATGGAAAGTTGGAGATGGAGATGTGATAACTGAGTATTCTACTTTTCCATGCAGGAAGCATTGCAGCTATAACTATAACAGTGATTGCAGTGGTTCTATTAGTGTTTGGCATAGCTGCATTCTTGAAGATCAGGTAAGAATTTGTACCCCCTAATTAAGGGAAAAAATAGTCTTTTCTTGAAGAGATTTGTTTATTAACTGATGTTCAAAGCAGAAATAAGAAGAGCCCATATGAAATCCACTTGATGAATTGACTCATTTTCCAAGTACTATAGACCCACCTTTGCTCCACAGATTTCTTTGAACATGACTGCGAGAATCCTTCATTATTGGGAATACAGTATAAAATTTCAGTGAATTGAAATCCAAAACATTGACAGGACTCCAGGTTGGAGAAAGCTGGATCCTGAGTACACAGTCTGAGGACTACATGCATGTCTTAATTAATTCAGTGAAGACACACATTTTAACTGCTTTTTTATTTTATATTCATTTTCTGTTAACTTGCTTTTTCTCTCAGTAACCCACAGTATGCCCACTGTTATTTTGCTAAACCAGTTCCACTCGCTTTTTCTGTCGCCATCCCTGAAGCTCGAACACTGCCAGACTGTATCCCCATCTGTACATTCCCCCATTTTTCATCAATCTGTCTTAATATCATCTGCTATCCCACTTTTTCTCTCTGTTCCCCATTACACTCTTTTATGTATTAGCAACACAAAACTACTGTATATACTCGAGTATAAGCCTAGTTTTGCAGCCCTTTTTTAGGCTGAAAAAAGTCCCTCTTGGCTTATACTTGAGTCAAGATTATTTATTGTTCAGTTCTGTTGTTAAAATTATGTAAATGTAATAAAAATAATAATAGAGTAAAAGAATAAATGTAATAATAATAACAGAGTAAAATAATGTAAATGTAATAATAATAATAATAATAATAATAATTAGAGTAAAATAATAAATATAATAATACTGTATATATGTAAAACAAGGACATCTAATCACCTTTCAATAAAGGATTGCTCCAGGCACTGCCAGGCAATCAAATGCTAATCAAGGTGATCAGTTGAAACATTCACACCTGACTCCAGCAGACAAGAGTCCTTTGTCCCACCCTGGTCATTCCACAGATATATAAACCCTTTTTCCTAGTTCCAACAGACCTCACTACCTCTGAGAATGATTGCCATAGATGCAAGCGAAACGTCAGGAGAAAATGCCTTTAGAACATGGCCATATAGCCCGAAAAAACCTACAACAACCCAATACTCGAGTATAAGCCTAGTTTTTTAGCCCTTTTTTAGGCTGAAAAATTCCCTCTTGGCTTATACGTGAGTTAGGATTATTGATTATTGAATTCTGTTATTGTTGTCGTTGTTGTTGTTGTTACATTTATCATTTTACTCTTATTATTATTATTACATTTATTATTTTACAGTCATTACTGTTATTATTACCTTTATTATTTCACTCTATTATTATTGGAAGGATACATAAGCACATTTCCATTGAAGAAGGTTAGAATTACGGTTTAATCAGAGTTGGACAGTCTTATCTTAAATTACAGTTTTATTTTATTTATTTATTTATTTATTTATTAACTTTATTTGTACCCCGCTAGCATCTCCCGAAGGACTCGATGCGGCTTACACAGGCCGGAGCCTCAAAAACACAATACAGTAAAAACATAACGCAACAATAGTGAACAAAGCAAATCAAATAGTTAAGCAAAATAACAAACAACAGTAACAATACATCAAGACACTTTAAAACTGGGCCGGCCAGCGCAATGGGGTACAGGGTTAAAAGTGCTGGAGTGGCAGGAGGGGCATAAGATTAAGAAATAGTGTGGTGTGCAGTAATATTAATTGTATTAAAGTGCTCCTAGGGCTTGGGATGGGGGATTCCTAATCTGAGAAAGCACATCGGAACAGCCAAGTTTTTAGGTTCTTTCCGAAAGCTGCCAAAGTAGGGGCCTGTCGAAGATCTTTTGGAAGGGCATTCCAAAGTCGGGGGGCAGCCACAGAAAAGGCCCTGTCCCGTGTCCCCACCAAGCGCGCTTGCGACGTGGGTGGGATCACGAGCAGGGCCTCCCCAGATGACCGGAGCGAGCGTGTGGGTTCGTAGATGGAGATGCGGTCACGCAGGTAGGGTGGTCCCAAACCGTTCAGGGCTTTGTAGGTGAGCACCTGCACCTTGAATTGGGCTCGGAAAATAAATGGCAGCCAGTGGAGCTCCTTAAACAGAGGGGTAGACCTCTCTTGATAATGAGCCCCGGTTAGCATCCTGGCTGCTGCCCGCTGGACCAGTTGAAGTTTCCGAGCCGTCTTCAAGGGCAGCCCCACGTAGAGCGCATTGCAGTAATCCATTCTAGAGGTGACCAAGGCATGGACCACCCCGGCCAAAGTTTTATACAAATACTCAAAAACATTTAACCTTTTGATGCCTCAATTAATATAATTGTATATATAATTTTGAAATTGACCAGTTGCTGCTGCATTTCCCACCCCTTGGCATATACTCGAGTCAATCTATTTTCCCAGTCTTTTGGGGTAAAATTAGGTGTCTCGGCTTATATTTGGGTTGGCTTATACTCAAGTATATACGGTACTATTTGTGCTCTCTGCATCACCACAATCTCTTGATTTTCCCCATGTCTTCCTCGCTCTGTGTTTACATTTTCATCACCTTCCACCTTATTCATCAGAATAGAAGCCTCTCTCATGAGGCAAATTACATACAATACAAGATCTAGGATCTCAGCATAGAAGGAAATGGTTATCTCTCACCCTCATGAATGGCACAATCCCAGTTTGTATCCATGCTAGCATCACTACCATCAACTTGCAGTGGTTTACTTTTAGCACAACATGTAGCTTTGCCCAAAGTTGGTTCTGGGAGAAAGATAGTGTTAACCTCCTTATGACTATGGATTCTCATACTGGGCTAAGTCAATCTTAATTTCCTTAGCACAAAATTCCACAAACTGATAGGAAGATGGACATGGTGCTTGTAAATATTACATTTTCTAGAATACAGCTCCCAGAATTTCTGGGCCAACATGACTTTGTGGGAGTTGCGAACCAAAAAAGAAGCATTTTTCAAATCTCTGGTAGAAGGATTCTAATGAAGGAATGAGATTGTCAATCCTAGCCTTGATCTCCCATAGAGCCGACACTTGATAGCCACTGTTAGATTTTTGAACATCAGCCCAGTAATTGAATTAATAAAACATCTACCTAGGGCCCTAAGATCATCTGAGGAGACCCTGCTCATTGTCCCCCCATTGTCACAATCACGTCTGGCGGGGACAAGGGACAGGGCCTTTTCTGTGGTGGCCCCCTGGCTGTGGAACTCCCTCCCAAGTGAAATTAGATCTGCATCCCTCTTGACCTTCTGGAAAAAAGTAAAATCCTGGCTATGGGATCAGGCCTTTGGAGAATAGGCTGACCTACTGACGTGTTGACTTAATTTAGAACTGATGGACTGCCCTTGGATAATAATCATCATCATCATCATTTAATTACTTATTAATCGCCTTCCATCCAAGATGCTCTAGGCGATTTACAAGCTAAAATTGTAAAGGATAAAAATACATACATACAGATATTGATAAAATTAACAAAGATCAAAAGCTCTAGTAAAAAGCCAGGTCTTAAGTGCTAGAGTAAAAGGCCCTAACTCATGCATGGCTCTCATATAGGTCGGCAAGGAATTCCATAAGGCAGGGGCAGAAATAGAAAAAGCTCTGTGTCTGGTCCTTTCCAAGTGCACTTCTCTAGGACCTGGTATATAAAGTAAGTCACGTTGGGATGGTCGTTGCGACCTCCGATGATGGGAGAATGAGAGCCGGTCCCTAAGATACGATGGACCCTGGCCGTAAAGAATTTTAAAGGGTAGAACTAGCATCTTATATAGACCACGGTAATTAGTTGGAAGCCAATGCAAATGCCGCAACACTGGTGTTATATGGCATTTCATGGGTGTTCTTGTGAGTAGCCTGGCTGCCGCATTCTGAACAATACGGAGCTTTCGGGTCATAGACATCGGAAGGCCAACATACAGGGCGTTGCAATAGTCCAGCCTAGATGTGACCGTGGCATGGATGACTGTTGCCAGAGCCTCATCAGATAGGTAGGGTGCCAATTGCCTCGCTTGTCGTAGATGGAAAAAGGCATATTGCTGGCAGCAGCGACCTGAGCTTCCATTGTCAGCTGCGAAACCAAAACAGCACCCAAGCTCTTAACGGTAGGCGAAGGAGATAGGGCAGCACCATCGAAGGTGGGTAGCAAATGTGTCAGACCAATCGAGCGGCCATGCCAGAGAATCTCAGTCTTCGCTGGGTTCACCTTCAGTCTACTAGCACATAGCCAGTTTGACAGAACCTCCAGACATAAGGTGAAATTGTCTGGTATTGACGTTGCTCCAGGCTCCAAACGCAGAAGGAGTTGGGTGTCGTCCGCATATTGATAGCAGTCTAGGCTGAAACTCCGAACCAAACTAGCAAGGGGTCTAACATAGATGTTGAAGAGAAGAGGAGAGGGAATTGCACCTTGGGGGACCCCACATAGGAGGGGAGATCTTTCAGAGACTTGATCCATATACTCCACGCATTGGCTCCGGTTTCGGAGAAATGAGTCGAACCAATTGAGGGCCTGACCGCGAACTCCGGACATGGCAAGATGGTGAATCATTAGATCGTAGTCAACGGTGTCAAACGCTGCGGTAAGGTCGAGAAGTACCAGTAGCGCTGATACGCCGTTATCAGACTGGCGACAAAGTTCATCTGTAATGGCAACCAGGACTGTCTCCGTCCCATGGCCAGGGCCCGCTCTATCATCTTGCCTAAGAATGGAAGGTTAGGGACAGGACGATAATTGGCAAGGGTCATGGGATCCAAGCTAGGCTTCTTTAGCAAGGGACGAACTCTTGCCTCTTTTAGGTTGTCCGGGAAGAGAGCCATTGAATATATTACTCAACGGATCGAGTAGACCTTCCAGGCAGCTCTTAACCAACCAAGAGGGGCATGGATCAAGGGAACAGGTGGTTGGTTTTGCAGCAGCCAGGATTCTGGCGACATCTTCCCTGTCAAGCGGTCAAAGATAGGCCCACTAAGCGGCCTCAAAGTCTCGAGCTCACTCAAGGTATCGACTGTAGGGGGCAGTTCCTGCCAAAGCATGGTGATAATGCTTTGAATCGGTGACCACTGACTATTTGTTGATTGTTTTTATATTGTTTTTATACTGTTTATATGGTTTTATACTGTTTATACTGTTTTATATTGTTATTATTACATTGCTGTTAATTGTATAAGTCCACTAGAGTAAGGTGTTGTTTCTTTTGTATCTCTAGGCATTCTTCTTATGGAAGACTCTTTGATGATCATGACTATGGATCCTGGGGAAACTACAACAACCCTCTGTATGATGACTCTTAATTTTCAGCCAAATATTGTCATTGTATGTATGAAGTATGTGTTCCTCTAAAAGCACCAAGGTTTGATATCCTGCTACACATGGCTCAATGTTTTTGTTCCTCCCCCCCCCCCCTCCCCCGGTGAACCATTTTGACTTCAGTACTGGCCAAAATCCTGGAAATAAGATGGACTGATGAGAAGCTTGCAGGAACAAACCAAGACAGAGTGTGAAATTTGTTGCCACTGGAGTAGGCACATCCACTGCAGGTTTTTACTCATTTTTTTCAGCAAAAGAAGGCAATCTGTGAGAAGTTGTCGTGACAGGACTGCTGTGACCATTGAGTTCCCAGAAAATTTGTTTAATTGAGAAGTGAAGCTTTATAGGAGATCTGCCAAGAAGAAAGTATGTGGCCTTTTTAGTTGTCAATTAGCAAAAGTTCGTGGTAGGCTTTGCTCAGGAGGGAGTTTAAAAATTAATACCAAATCTTGGGTTTTGTTTTATTTATCTTTAACTAGGTTGTCTTGAGAATATTCTAATTAAAATACAACTAAATGTTGGAGGAACACCTGATATTGCACTGAGGGTCTTGTTAAGTATCTACTTTTCAAGTGCTTCTGCAGATGTCACATTTCCCTTCTTTGATTTCTTTAAGGTCTACCATGTGCCTTGTAGTCGTTGCTGCCACCTGTTTAAGCAAATGGCATGGGCAGAGAAATGCACATTGGAATAGTGTAAAAAAAATGAACATGCAAGCTGAGCTAGACATAATTGATCAGAAAGAATGGGAAATCCACACAGTACTGCCATTTGCAGCAAGAGTCCTTTTGTTTTCTGACCAAAGCTTGAAGAGAGGGGAATACCACTGGCAAAGCCTTCCCATCTTGCAGGCTGTCTTTCTGAGGCTATAGGAACACAAGATCAGCCATGATCCCTCATGTCTAAAATATCTACCCGCAAAGCATCTTTGTAGATTAAAGTTTTTGTTGCTTCCCAGATCACAGGCGATCTAATGCTGTGGACTTTAATAAAACCTGTTTTACTGGGATCACTGGAAAAGCAATCTCTATTTTTTAAAGAGTATATTTACATAAACCTAAATGTTTTCCAGTTTAAAACACATCTCAGAAAAGGGTGTTGGGTAGTTATGCCAGTGGGGACATCTATACTTTTGGTTTTAGTTGTTGTTCCCCCACAAAATGGAGCTCAAAATGTCCAATTGCATCTCATAATGGCCTGTGGGGTCAGTGGCCCATATCATATCAGATCAAAATGGGGAAAGGAACACACAGATTGGGGAAAAGGACAGATGAATGTGTGTGTGAGAGAGAGAGAGTGTGTGAGAGAGATGTTCTCGCCTGATATTGATATTTGGTCTAGTACAGTTTAGGCACTTCCATAATCTATATAAATAAAAATCTATATAAATAAAAAAGATCAGCCATGATCCCTCATGTCTAAACTATCTACCCGCAAAGTTTGTGGGATTAACATAATTCAAAAACCACTGGATGAATTGCTGCCAAATTTGGCCACAAGACACGTACTAACCCAAAAAATGATTTTGTCATTTGGGAAGTGTAGTTGCTGGGATTTATAGTTCTCCTACAATCAAAGAGCATTCCGAACTCCACCAGCGATGGAATTGAACCAAACATGGCATACAGGACTCCCATGACCAACAGAAAACATTAGAGGGGTTTGGTGGGCATTGACCTTGCGTTTGGGAGCTGTAGTACACCTACATCCAGAGAGCACTGTGGATTCAAACAATGATGGATCTGGACCAAACTTGGCACAAATACTCCATATCCCCAAATATGAACACAGATGGAGTTTGGGGGAAATAGACCTTGACATTTGGGAGTTGTAGTTGCTGGGATTTATAGTTCACCAACAATCAAAGAGCATTCTGAACCCCACCAATGACAGAATTGGGGCAAACTTCCCATACAGAACCCCATGACCAACAGAAAATACTTAAGGCCATCCAATCCAACTCCCTTCACCAGGGCAAGAAAACGTAATCAAAGCCCACCTGAAAAAGAGCCATCGAGCAATAGATATAGATAGATAGATATGATTCACACACAGAGAGAGATACAGTATCATAGATTTGAAAGGGACCCCTAAAGAAGGACAATCATATGTTGCATGTTCCAAAGTAGACAAACCAGACACTCTCCACATCAACACTGATAAAGAAAGAACAAGAAATACTATTTACCCACAAGCAAAAAGAAATTACATATATTAGAAACCAACACTTTCTCATTATTTTCCAGATCACCAGACTGGGCCACAGCAAAGCTTGGCAAGGGACAGCTAGTCTATATAAATAAAAATGCAATGTTTGTTTGTGGGATTAACACAACTCAAAAACCACTGGAAGAATTGACATCAAATTTGTACACAATACACCTATCAGGCCAACGAGTGACCATCACTCATAAAAACACTGGAAAACACAACTGAAGGGACTTAAAAGGCCAAAAAACAAAAATTACATTACAGCGCATGCACAAACCACACATATATATGCAAACACACATATACATATATAGACAAACATATACACACACATACATAGATATACACAGACTAGGCCATAGCAGCGCATGCACATGTGAAGACAACAAAATGGGACACGTTTTATCCAAGCAGATAATTTCAGGCAAACGTAACCAAAATTTAATGGTACTTCTACTCCATATACACATACCGGGAAGGATACATTATTATCATGATTTTATTTACACCACACTTTTTCTTTCTACAAAGGAGACTCAAAGTGGTTTACATTAAAAACCAGCCACTGCCAGAAGGGACAGAGAGCTTCATCTATGATGATGATCGTGCCATTACTGCTCAAGCAGGGAGCTTTGAGATGGTAGAACAGAAGCTCTCCAAAGCTCTAGGTGCTCTTACTGCCTATTACAGGGAAAAACAGCTGATCCCTAATCCATCTAAAACACAGACATGTGCCTTTCACCTTAAGAACAGACAAGCATCCCGAGCTCTGAGGATTACCTGGGAAGGAATCCCGCTGGAGCATTGCAGCACACCCAAATACCTGGGAGTCACTCTGGACCGTGCTCTGACCTACAAGAAGCACTGCCTGAATATCAAGCAAATAGTGGGTGCTAGAAACAATATCATACGAAAGCTGACTGGCACAACCTGGGGATCACAACCAGACACAGTGAAGACATCTGCCCTTGCGCTATGCTACTCGGCTGCTGAGTATGCATGCCCAGTGTGGAACACATCTCACCACACTAAAACAGTGGATGTGGCTCTTAATGAGACATGCCGCATTATCACAGGGTGTCTGCGCCCTACACCACTGGAGAAATTACACTGTTTAGCCGGTATTGCACCACCTGACATCCGCCGGGGAGTAGCAACCAATAGTAAAAGGAGCAAGGCAGTGACATCTCCAGCTCATCCCGTTTGGGTATCAGCTAGCACGTCAATGACTTAAATCAAGAAAGAGTTTTCTAAGATCTACAGAGACACTAGCTGGAACACCTCAGCAAGTGAGAGTCCAAAAGTGGCAGACTCAAACCCAGAACCTCATTTAATGGCTGATACCAAATGAGAGACTCCCCCCTGGGCACACAGAAAACGGGGCGACTTGGAAGGCAGCTGAACAGACTGCGCTCTGGCACCACAAGATGCAGAGCCAACCTTAAGAAATGGGGCTACAAAGTGGAATCCACGACATGCGAGTGTGGAGAAGAGCAAACTACAGACCACATGCTGCAATGCAACCTGAGCCCTGCCACATGCACAATGGAGGACCTTCTTAGTAACACCAGAGGCACTCCAAGTGGCCAGCTACTAGTCAAAGGACATTTAATCAACTACCAAGCTTGCAAACTTTGTGTTTTGTTTGTTAAAAATTGCAATACAACTGTTTGTTTTGCACCTGACACAATAGATAGATAAATAAATAAATCTATGCTCCAGTCATCCTCCATAGGCTTCTCATTACTTGAGATAGGTGAGAACTAGAAATGTTGATAGATGAATGGAAACCACTGGTCTGAAGTAATGTAACACAACAGGCTTGCATCTCCCTGCCCTCCCTATTTGCATCTCTAGAGCTGTGAATACCTGGACTTTGTACATGCAAATGCAGCAACAACAAGAGCATACAGTGGTGAATTTTTGGACAAGTTATAAGCTGCAGTGTAACGTTTCAAACAAACTAGTCAAATGTGGGCTAGGCAAAACTACGGTTAGATGGATCTGTAATTGGTTAAATGGACGAACCCAGAGGGTGCTCACCAATGCTTCCTCTTCATCCTGAAAAGAAGTGACGAGCGGAGTGCCGCAGGGTTCCGTCCTGGGCCCGGTCCTGTTCAACATCTTTATTAATGACTTAGATGAAGGGTTAGAAGGCAGGATCATCAAGTTTGTAGACGACACCAAATTGGGAGGGATAGCCAATACTCCAGAGGACAGGAGCAGGATTCAAAACGATCTTGACAGATTAGAGAGATGGGCCAAAACTAACAAAATGAAGTTCAACAGTGACAAATGCAAGATACTCCACTTAGGCAGAAAAAACTAAATGCAAAGATACAGAATGGGGGACAATGCCTGGCTCGAGAGCAGTACGTGTGAAAAAGATCTTGGAGTCCTCGTGGACAACAAGTTAAACATGAGCCAACAATGTGATGTGGCGGCAAAAAAAGCCAATGGGATTTTGGCCTGCATCAATAGGAGCAGAGTGTCTAGATCTAAGGAAGTCATGCTACCCCTCTATTCCGCTTTGGTTAGACCACACCTGGAATATTGTGTCCAATTCTGGGCACCACAATTGAATAGAGATATTGACAAGCTGGAATGTGTCCAGAGGAGGGCGACTAAAATGATCAAGGGTCTGGAGAACAAGCCCTATGAGGAGCGGCTTAAGGAGCTGGGCATGTTTAGCCTGAAGAAGAGAAGGCTGAGAGGAGATATGATAGCCATGTATAAATATGTGAGAGGAAGCCACAGGGAGGAGGGAGCAAGCTTGTTTTCTGCTTCCCTGGAGACTAGGACGCGGAGCAATGGCTTCAAACTACAAGAAAGGAGATTCCACCTGAACATTAGGAAGAACTTCCTGACTGTGAGAGCCGTTCAGCAGTGGAACTCTCTGCCCCGGAGTGTGGTGGAGGCTCCTTCTTTGGAAGCTTTTAAACAGAAACTGGATGGCCATCTGTCAGGGGGGATTTGAATGCAATGTTCCTGGTTCTTGGCAGGGGGGTTGGGCTGGATGGCCCATGAGGTCTCTTCCAACTCTTTGATTCTATGACTATTGGAATAATATACATTTTAATGCAAAACGTATCTTAGGGCACTGGTAAGTGAAAATCTAACCCAGTTTGTCAGATTAACACTAATCAGATATCGTTACACTTCAGCCATGGAGAATACATCTGCAGAGTTGCCATTATCAGCAACGACTCCTAATTAGTTCAAATCAGCTTCCAATAAGTGTCAGTACCTAAATTTAACGTAAGTAATTGATCACTTGTTTGTTAATTAATGCTGATGTTCAAGTAGCAGCTCTGTTTCATGAAGCCTGCAGTAAAGTAGGACAGGCATGGCACTTAACTGTAAGCAGCATCTTTTCATTGACTGGAATTAAATTCCACCCTCCCATGCCAGGAACTGTCACAGCCAAGTCAGGAGGAAATGTTACTTGAACAATTCAGGTCATATGATCTTATCTCAGAAAGCAAGTCGCTCATGCAACACACTTGAAAACTAGATGTGATAAACAGCTTCTCTGTCACTGTAGTAATAGGAACGATACCCAACTTTTCAGAATTATGCCCAACATAATAAATACATTGTGTTTTAATGACAAGTCTGGATAAAAACGAGAACAGAACTCCACCAGAAATTGATTATAGAGTGATGCTGGAGAACTTATGTTCCTAAAGAGATGTTCTCTTGGTTTTCTATTTGTGTTTTTCCCAAAAAAAGTGGAGGGCTACTGTACATTTAAAAACAAAGAAATATGAAACTTATCTTGAAGGTGTGGTGCGTGTT